TTCCATGCCTGTTAGTTCTTCGTGTTTTGTTAATTTGGACTTTGTTAATAAACTTCCTGCACCAGAAAGAGTCTCTCCAGTACTGCATTTGGGTCCTGCCTGCTCCCTGCGATGCTCGCACATGACATCTCGGCTCTACTTTGCAGATTTTCCCTTTTCGTGGTGGCTCTTGGAACACAACCATCACAATAGGAGAGGGACCACTGTATTAAGAAAAAATATATAAAACAAAAGTTCAAATTAATGCAGTCTGGGTTTTTTTTGTGTTTTTAGCAATTAGGATTAGAATAGGAAATTCTAAACTGATGGATTCATGTCTGTTGCCAGGTTTCACCAGTGGATGGTTGTAGCCGGTTGCCCACACCATCACGAGAGGCCCCTCCACACGTGGTCCAATTCTCTGTCCGTCCTCACCACACCACCACCACGCCCACCACCACCTCCGGTGCTGCATCAGACTCGTCTGACTCGGAGTACAGCTCCAACACCGCAGCGTCTGGTATAAGCCAGGAGCTGCAAAACTACAACCCGTGGTCACACAGAGCAGAAGCTCGAGGGGAGGAGCTTCAGCACGACCTCCAGACCTGCAGAGCAGTGAGGCCTGAGGAGGACAGAAGAGACTCAGGGCACAGGTATTCAAACCGACAACCTGAGCCTCCAACTTACACTGTGTCTTCGGTGAGGAACTGTCTCCTGCTTTATGATCCCAGATAAAATCTGCATTTTGAAAACTTAGTCTAAACAATTATGTTATGTAATTATGTTATAATTATGTCTGTCTCTTTTCCAGAGTTGTGACTCTGGGCCTCAGGTGGGAGCTTCTCAGCACAGCAGCAGCAACAGGAACTCTAAGCTGCAGTGGCAGATCTTGCCCCCAGCCCACCCACGCACAGACACTTTTGAAACTTTTACTGAGGCTGGGAACCATTATGGCCCACGTGGCTGTAGAGGACACTCAAAGCGCCGAAGAGCTCGCATTTCTCACAACCCGCAACCCAATCATCACCTCCTACATCATCACCATAACACCACTCCATACGGTCAACCCATCACCACAGTAACGGCTTCCGCCTCGGTCACTGTTGCTGTTCACCCACCCCCCTTAGCCAACCACAACCCTTCCACCTCTTCTTACCCAGGATACACTGCAACAGACAGTTACTGCTCTACAGGGCCTGGGGTATCGGAAGCAGTTTTCCATGATCCCCATGTGCCTCAGGACACCCAGACACGGACCAGAGGAGTCAAGGTGGAGGCCATGGAGCTCCAAGATTTGGAGTTGAGCTGAGAGCAGCTACAGCATACAGGCCAGCTGAAGTGAGTTTACACTCTATCGCATTCCTCGTACTCTGGGTCACATTTATTATAATAGGGAAGTGGTATTAACTTTGACAACGTATTCTGATTTCATTTTAGTCGTATGATTAAATAGTAACTTAGTCGTGGTACAAATGTCGTCATCCAAACAGTTTTTTACTTTAGTTTTTTGTCTATGAAAGCAAAAAAAATTGGAAAGTTTTTAAACTGTTATTAAACTTAATAAACTCAGTTTATACAATCTTTGATAGCATTTCCATAGGAATTAATGCTTTATTAAATATTTTATGTGTATTATGTTTTGTTTTTTATTATTCATCCATCCATCCATCTTCAACCGCTTATCCGGGGCCGGGTCGTGGGGGCAACAGTCTGAGCAGGGACACCCAGACTTCCCTCTCCCTCGACACTTCCTCCAGCTCTTCTGGGGGGACCCCAAGGCGTTCCCAGGCCAGCCGAGCGAGGTAGTCGCTCCAGCGTGTCCTAGGTCTTCCCCTAGGTCTCTTCCCAGAGGGACGGCACCCGAGCACATCCCGAGGGAGGCGTCCGGGGGCATGCGATGTAAATGCCCAAGCCACCTCAGCTGACTCCTCTCGATGTGGAGGAGCAGCGGCTCTACTT